AGCTGGGGATTATTCGACGATATTCACCGAGCCTGAGGCGAATAATTGTTTTAGTATAATTTCAGAGCTGAACAGCAGAGAAATTTCTAAAATCATAACATTTTAGTAACATTTATTAACATTTTATTTTAACATTTTATATAAACCGCGTGGAGCGGTTTATATTAGTTTAGTTTAAGTTTAATTCAGATTTGAACTCACGACCTCCCGCACATATTGCGTCATATAAGGAACCGCTCGACCAATCTGATTGCTGGAAACTCTTTTCTCAGCTCTGAAATTATACTAATATGCAACATCGTTATTAACGAAAAAGGAAAAGGAAAAGGAAATAATGCCCGATCATGAATCGAGGAACATGGAAACCATCACTGGAACCGAGGCCGAGCATAGTTAAACATGAGAGAAACCTGAAAGTACAGGCATCCAGACGCAAATATGTGGGTGGGGGAGGGGAGGGTAGGGGAAGGACAGTGTCCCTTCCACCTCACGTTTTGGTGCGGAAAACATTGATAATGCAGCATGAAATTGTAGTGTAATACTCAAAGTTGTGATCTTTTGACATACATGCATACATACATACATACAAACATACATATACCTTTACTTCACCTCGGATTTACAAGAGTAGCTGTATAGCTAATTTCTCCTAGAAAGAGAAAAAGAAAAAATTAAGAAAATAAACAAATAGATAAGTAAATAAAATATATAAAAACAAATAGAATCGTATATTAGATACAGTACATTACATTACTATTTACATAGGTAACAATTGCATTTATGTTCAAAGGAAATTTAATGTTCGAAAGAAATTTGACAAATTTTAGTTCTAAACTCATTCAACGACGTCAATGACCTCAGGTCCTCTGTTAGTTTGTTCCACATGTTTACAGAATTGTTTCTGAAGGAGTGAAGACCATAAGTGGTTGTATTGACATATGGGATAACAAGTTTCCTTGATCCTCATAGGTTGTATTCAGAACTCCTCATTTGAAAAAGTCATTTCGTCGGGTTGGTGTTTAACGATACAACATTTTTAGGGACTGTTTTTCCCCACTGCCTCTGCACACCCGCGACAAAAGTGAAGGATCTTTTAACTCTTACTTAGCTTATTCTTGAGACAACGCTAATCGGCCTTTATTTTAGATACAATCAGCTGCTTCGCTATGATATAACACTAGTAGCAATTGGTTGCGAACTTTGCCTCCCCAGTGCCGCCAGAGATTCACCAGCTTTCAAACATCACCGCGAAAGAAGGAGACTCAAAATCATTGAATTGCACCGCATCTGGATTTCCGCTCCCGGAAGTGATTTGGCTCAAGGACAATATAGAATATCCAGGACAGATGGTGAGTTGTGGCATGGACACTTATTTAAACCTATACTTCGTCGGTTCTCGATGCAGGACACCTTTTTCGTGGAACAGAATTTTGCGGTTACCTGTTCCAACCTACCCTGCGAGCAAAGGTCCCTTCTATCTTCTTAGAAATGTTGGGAAGAGGAAGAGGGTGTCTTCTAGGAAGATCGAAGGGATCAGTGCTCGCAGGGTAGTTCCAACCGACCAGGTGTAGTGTTCTGAGTTATACAGAGAGAGGTCGAAGTTATACGATGAATTATTCGTAAAGGTGGATATTTCTTTTGAGTTCTATTTTCGGCGGTAATCTGCTCATATCAGCCTAAAGGAATGGTACTCTTTATTGCATAGCCCGGTAAAACAGGACAGGCGAGCGCGTTGTTGTGAAAAGTTTTTCACCCATTACCTGTTAAACCGCAGAAAAAACCTGGCGAGAGTGTGCTGAACATGGAAGATCTCGGCTTGGACGACATCTCGAAGTTTGTTTGTCAAGCTTCTAATGCAGCTACGAATGAGGAAGGAGAAGTTATTGTCAAGGAAGTGGCTATCGATCTCTTTGTTATGGGTCTGTATTTTACGCCAATTGTTTTTGAACTGTCACTGCAGTTTATATCAGTGTTCGCCATTGCTCGGAACAATGAAGTTCGTTGCTAAGGGAACAATAGAGGATCAAGGTCTCTTTACGTGCCTGTGATGAGCTTAAGCATGTAGTCATGACGGCGAAGCCGAGGAAAACAAGATTTAAAACGATTAATTGTATTTGCCTCTAAAATTTCAATGAAATGTAACCTATTTTAAATTATTTAAAGGATGTAGTCATCGGAAAACACAACTCCAAATTTACGTTGAAACTGTTGATTTTACGAAAGCTGGAGGTATGGCAATTTTACTTCACAAAATAGTAATTTAATTACGCAGTCAGTATACCTCAAAACTCTAGGTTGTCGCGAGGCTCGTGTTGCGGGCATTCAGCATCAGTATGGCCGACAGTAAGCGAAGCATAGGTGAGCAAGATATTGTGTCTGGTCCACTTAACAAGCAAAGTGGCCAGAGTACCCTTTCAATAATTATTGAATTTGTCAGATGTGCACATTTTTCAGTTGAACCAAGACCATACGATTCAAACCTGGTCAAAGAACCCATATATAGTGAGCTGGGGAGCCCAGATCCCGTCCGACTGGCCTGTGCATTTACTGGTTACCCTCCCCCACAGGTGTGGATTACAAAGGATGGCAATGTTGTAATAAATGGCGTAGAATCAGTTTGGATAGACAAAGTAACGGACAGCCTTGATGATTACGGATTGTACCACTGCGTCGCCGAGAACGTAGTTAGTCTTTCGAAGTTGAATTATACCTTTGAAGTCAGGCGATCAGGTTGGTAATGGCTTGATAAAAAATTCATATGAAAGTTGTGGTACATCAATGAACGATTCTTGACAGTGGTCTTAAGAGCACATTTCAGTTGAGTGTCGTCGCTTATAGCCAAACCTTGAGTACCCTTTACAGCCAGTCAAGACAAAGAAAATTCTCACAAGGAGCCAATGAGCTGGAAGCGCGGAAATTGGGAGTTAACGTGTTGCGATCGGCTTAAGCCTGGTATCTGATTGGTCGAGCGGGCTAAACGAGTTTTCAAAACCAAACAAGAAGTGAATTAAAGCAAAGTTATGCATTCCCAGACTACTCTCAACAGTCAAGTGAAAATTCTCCGATAAACTCAACGTTCGTATCGCGACGAAGTCACGAATCACAAAATATCATCATTTGGTCGAATTCTGCTAAATCTTGGCGTAACATTCTGCTAAATATAGGCTGCTCAAAGTTCTGCTAAATCTAGGCTAACGTTCGCATCGCAACGAAACCGTGAGTCACAAAGTGTCACCATTTAGTCGAATTCTGTTAAATCTCGGCTTATACTTTTTCCATTCCCTCTGCTAGAGGCTCCGAAGTTTACGTTGGAGCCCAAGCTCCCCTCTGGAAATCTAACTGCAGGCTTTCCAGTGACCATGACATGGAACGTTTCCGGTATTCCAAAACCGGAAGTAAGATGGAAGAGCCCTTCAGACGGATACGTAACTTTGGACAATCCTCGCTTCTTGTTAAATCAAAGGGAACTCACCATTAAGACGTTGGAGGAAAAAGATGCTGGAATGTGGACGATAGAAGCAACGAATAGCTTGAAAACCACGAAAGCTCAGGTGGAATTCGGCACGGTAATTGGTAAGAGGCCAGGAACGGTTTTAAGATCCAGCTTTAGTTTTAGTTAATGCTTGGATTCCTTTTCAATCCCAGAATCCTTTGACACATTTTTCATCGGTGATTATCTCGCTTTCGCTCTATTTGATTGGCAGGGAGGTTTCGTCCGCCTAAAACTTTTTAAAAACTTATTAAATATACACTTGTGCTTATATGTCACGAGGCGTTCTCTTGAGGGTAACATGAAATAATTTCCTCCAAATTATTTTGAGATTTCTTTCAATTTAATTCATAACAGTGCGACCCCAGATCAATCCGATACCCGATGTAGTAGCACATGAAGGTAAAAGTGTTACGCTGACCTGCACCGCTTCTGGAGTCCCGATCCCGGATGTAAAATGGATATCAGAGGGAAAGGATTTCTTTGACGAGCAGGTATCTCATCTACGATAGGCTCGTAATGCGTGCATAGTTTGTTCTCTAAGCAAAGACTCGTAGTCAAACTTCATGAAACAGTTGGATTTTTGCGTGTTGAATTTACTCGCAACTCAAGACCGAGTAGTTAAAAGCATGAATAGTTTTATAGACAGCCTATCCTGAGACATAAAAATAGTAAGGTGAGTATTTTCAGTATTTGCACCTTTTTGATGGCATAGTCGATTTTCAATTTGTGAACTCTTGAGCTGAAAGTTGTTAGACTTGCCTGCAGCCTGCAACCAGGAACTTGCCATTTGCAACTTGCAACTTGTTACTTGCAACATGCAAACTGCATCATGCAACATGCAGTATGCAACTTGCACCCCTTGTCCTTTTAATTGTAAATTGCAAGGTGCAATTTTTACAATTAATTACAATTAATTAAAACTTATATAGCGTAACTTTCCATGGCACATGATCAAATGCGCTGTACAATAAGTTAAAAAGACTAAAAATAAATTAAATTTACATGCAGATAGGAAGATTTAAAATGAAATAAAATGATAATAAATGATAAATAGTAAAATAAACGAAAAAAATTCTACTACAAATTAAAAGCTCGTTTAAAACGTTATGTAATACATACCTCCTGCAACCTGTAGCTTGCACTTTGTAGCCCAAAACTCACAGCGTGAGGCTTACGCTTACAAACGTACAAGTTTAAACAGCACTAAGGATTACATCATCATTTCTGGTATATAAATATATAGAGGCCATTTTCCGTACTTTTTTTCAGTTCCATGCTTTTTGTTGTTGTTTTTCTTAACAGAGATCACCTGGTAAAAGTGAGATAACTCTTCTGAACCTGGGATTGGAAGACAACTCACTGTTCATTTGTGAAGCAAAAAATGGAGCACAAGATGACAAAGGAAAAGAGTTGGTCAGCGTGCAAAGCATGAAACTAATCGTCAAAGGTGAGTTGGACTTATTGCAATCGAGGAATTGTTCAAGAAAATGTAATGTTGTCAACCGATTAAATTCTTTTAACTTGACGTAGTTTGAAAAGCTCGCAACAATGATATTTGGCTAACCTTAAATATGATTTATTTACGACAATGACTGAGCCGAGCATTACACCAAAAAGTTTGACTGATGTAATAAAATTGACCAATCACAACTGACGCTCAAGCTGTTAGAACGCTATGCACTGTTAACATTAGCAATCCTTTTCAAAACCATTCTTTTCTGGTTGATCATACCACACCGTCGATTTTCACTGCCGAGTGAAAGTATTTATTTTATTCACTCATTCATTCATTTCGACAGTTGAACCTAAACCAGCGGACAGCACTCATCGCGCCAAGCCTGTTCTTTCCTACATTGGTAACCCTGAGCATTCAGTATTCAACTGCGAGTTTAGCGGTTATCCGCCGCCTGATGTAAGAATCATCAAGGATGGTCAAGTTTTGGCTTATAGCAAGGATTCACTTTCGTATAGTGTTAGCGTTGATAGCGTGGATGATTTTGGTGAATATGTCTGCATGGCCGAGAACGAAGTGGGGAAATCCAAGCAGAACTACACCTTTGAGATACAATCATCAGGTAACGAGTGTGGGAATACCATGAGACTATTTAAAAATTCTTAATACTTCGAAATTAAGAAGACCTGGGCTCTTACGTATGGTGCACGGTCCTCGCAGTAGAGAGCGCTATTTATGAATAGCGAAAATTAGACCTG